TAGTTTTCAAACCAACCGTACTTCAATGTTTATTAGTAGTGCGTCAAACCTTATACGTCTACATTATATACCATATAAATAGTAAATACTACGTATTCATTAAATGTTCTTAGCTTCTTGCCAACAATTTTAATTATTCTAATAAGTTCAATAGTATGATAAATAAATAATAATAAAACCTTCTTTTAATACATAAAGTATTAAACAAAGAAAGAACATGAGAAAATAATTTATTGTAATAATATTTCTGGTCTATTTTAAATTTTTAAAACAAATAAAATGTATACAATAACTAAATACATTTTTTTTCTGGCTTTTTTATGCGCAAATTGGTCGATAAGTTGGCTGTAATCTAATGTTTCTGCTAATTCATTTTCAATTGAAAGCGTCGCTAGTCCAGAAAGTCTGTCTTGAGAAATGGTACTGCGAAGATAGTTTTTTATGATTTTCAATTTCGAAAAAGCACTTTCTGCACCTGCAGAGGCCACAGGGATAGTCAACAGGATTCTAAGTGCAATGTTTATATTAGGAAATGAACTACAAGATGTTTTAAGAATCTCAAGAGCTTGAAGGGCAGTAATATTTTCGTTTACCATGGTGCGAAAAATTATCAATTCATTGCATAAATCAGCTGCTTCGATATCTCTGGATTCACCATCTGTTAGTGTCATTTGTAAATCTTGACAATGTTTAAATAACTCATCTTCCCTCATATTTTTCAACTGACCAATTCTGTACAAGAATCCAAATTGTTCATTGTAGTTAGTTATTTGTTCAAATCTTTTTTTCACTGATGCCAGCGTTTGGTCAACTAACACTAAAAAGTACTTCACTCTGAAATTTTCTTCCTCATTAGCCAAAGAATCATCTATATTCTCATAATCAAACATTTTGGTTTTTTTTCTAATTCTATTTTTTTTAAACTTTATTTCAATTCCCATTGGTGATATTATTTCTTCTGCTTTAACCTTAGCTAATGTATATCCATTTTCTCTATAGTTTTCCAAAAAAATAATTAAGCTATTTAGCAGACTTGCTGAAACATCTAAATCAATTGTTACTGACTGTAGACTCTTACTTACAATATTTATTTCACATAAAATATCATACCATATTATCAAACTTAAAATAAATTCATAGCTACATATTTCTTTGGCTAAATAATGTGTTTCACTTTTTATTTTTAAATCTTTTGTTGTATCCGAAATCTCCTCTAAAGCTTCTACAACTTCGTTTAATTGAAATCGGATGGCTTTCACAGCGTTCACACGACTGTCCCATCGGGTTTCTGCCCATTTTTTTAATAGAAAGTTTATTACAATGATTTTTTTTAAAATTTCCCATCTATTTATTGATGCTGAAAATAAAACATAAATCCTTTCAATCATTCCAAAAAATAATTGAGCCTGAGAAGAACTTCCTCCAGCATCCTTGAGACAAAGGTTAAGGCTATGTGCGGCACATGGAACAAAAAATGCAAGGATTTTGGTTTAAAATATGAGCCCGTACACCTTTATAGAGACCCGCCATATTAGCACCATTATCATAAGCCTGTCCTCGACAGTTATTTATGCCGAGACCATACTCTTTCAGTTTTTCAATCAAAATGTTTGATAAATCCATTCCAGTAGTTGAGTTTATATGTACAAAGTCCATGAAATATTCTTTTATTTCAGAACAGCTAGATTCGTTTTCTAAATCTATGTGTACAATTCTTATTATAATAGAAAGCTGTTCACAGTGGCTAATGTCTGGAGTAGTATCCATAATGACAGAAAAATAATTAGAATTTTTTATAAATTTAATTATTTTAAGTTTTACTTCTTGTGCCATCGTGGAAATCAATGAGTCTTGAATAGTATGTCCAAGATAATGGACATGCGTCTGACGCGGACACGATGATTGCTTCAAGGTTGATCGTGGTCCGGTCGAAGTGTTTGGTTAGGATTGAGGTGATGAAAAAAACACAACACAAACACTTTAAGAATGTCACAAATTATGTATTATAATATTGCGACTAAAATATAACAATACAAGACGTGCCGCTCGGGCAGATGAGTTTAACGTCGGACGATATGTTATCGGTCCGACGGTCCGATGGTGGATCTCGAATCGACTTTTCCGCCGACCGTTGTACGTCTTACGCGACACAGTCCTCCCGTCCCGCCTTGCCGTTACCGGCTCGGTGGGAGAGTCAACCCGGTCGCGCTGCTTGCATCCCGTGGTGGTGGTTGGAGATAAGATAGACTGGTCGCTATAGTGCTTGTACATTGTACTTGCTACTAACGCGGGCCGCGTCATACTCCCCCCCCCCCAAACCACCATACGGGGTGCCACAGCGTACTGTTGTCGGTGGATAAGTGGTTCAGCTCGCGGTACCCCTTGCCATGTGACTTGAAGTAAGCTTGCCTTGCTGACACCCTCCTAGTCCCTCTCTGGTAGGTGGTGTTGGTTGTTGACCTCGTGCTTTGGTGCCTCGTTGTCGTTGGTATGGCTGCGACGTGACGTTGGTTATCCATGTGGTACTGGCGGTACTGCTCTGTTTGTTGCATGTGTCCGTCTGCCATCCGGACCGTGTTTGTTGGTCCGTGGAGGGGTTTGCCGTATTTACAGGCTATGGTCGGGTTTACGTACGATTTGGGTCTGTGGATCTAATAGCGCCGTTACGAAGCCTGACGGAAATTCGTGTTCGACCTCGGTGGGTCTGAATTTTGTCCGGGCGTGTTCGTGTGACGTTATTAGACGTATTGCAATCGGTCGAGCGGGGCAACTGGTTCTGAACCGCGACAGAGACTGATTGGTGGTCGGTGTTGACCGCCATGACCAAACTGTCCCTGTCGGTTGTCTCGGTGCTCACCTGATGCTTTACGTATACAGAATGACCTATAATGCGGGGGTGTGCGAAGTTGGTGTGCTTGCGCCCCCGTCACCTTTGCAGGTGAACACCCGTGGCTCTGTTACCTTTGTCCCTACACCTGCGGCTGCCCCATAAGCCGTTGATGTTGACCACACGTGTCACCAGTGAGGTGAGTGTGGTGGGTGGTGGGGTGGTGTAGGTTTGGGATTTAAGAGTGGGTGCCGATAGGTGGTGTGGTGACGGAAAAATTCGTAGTTGGTTTTTCGTCGTTACGAATTACCGAACTACGTGCGTGATGATGGCATAATTTTTCTCCGTCCGTACTACCCAAAATATGGTATGATGGGTGACGAGAGGTGGATGGAGATATTATCCTACACGAAATCAAAACGCCTGCTATGCGTCGAAGCACGCTGAACATAAATGTTATAATATGTAGCCGGATATGTGTACCTACGGAAAGTGTTGCGCGTTCGCCGGACGATAACACCTACCTACTCCGATTCGGATAGGCCAGTATTGGGGGCCGCGAGCTGGTTTTAAATCAGCACAAATTCTGTAAGTGATTGTGTGGACGTTTTAGTGTCTACGCGCTTGCGTGAGTAACGACTCTCGGTGTTGGCTAAAAACCGGACGGGGTGCTCGGCCCTTGTTCCGCGTAGAACTCGGTATTAACACCGATCGTACCTGCGCGCGTGCGGCGTATGACGGGTAGCGCGACGCTCTTCCCATTTGACCAGATTCGTCGTTGAAAAAGGTCGTTCATTTAAGGTGGCAATGTAACTGACACCCGGCTGGGCACTGACTACGTTGTACCTACTCGAACGACCTACCCGACTGGTAACCATCGTGTGTGCGAGTGGTAACGTGTACGGGTGACGGGTGGTTGATAGGCCACGGGATCTCAAAATTGTGTGGCTGCTGCACGCTGTTGGCTGTTCCGTGAAGAACTTCGCCATGCTAGCTTACAGCGCCAGCCAACGTGACTCGAACGTTTTCGTTTCGGTCGATTGGTGTAACGATTACGTCGATATTTTTTTTTTTTTTGATTCCGAGGCGGCTTTGAAAAGTTTGTCGTTCTATACGTGCGCGGTCCCTGCCTGATTTGTGGTCGACTGGAGCTTGGACTGTTGTGTACCGGCTGGCAGTCCGTGGATATTTACATAGCCCTAAAGCTAGCAATGTTGTCCCCGGACGGTAGCCTATACCAATCGCTAGCGTCAGTGTCTTCCAAAATCGGTGGTGTGTACGTACACGCGCGAATACGCGAGTATTGAACGACTGTTATCAAATAATTTACGCCGTAAACAATGGTCAGCTGTTGACGGCCGCCGATGTTCCAAATATAGCGAAACTGGGTCACGGAATCGGCGGCGGCGGTGGCGGTGACGACGACTGGTTTTGACGTCGCGGTCTGCGCGCTGCGCTGTTATCGGCAATAAAGTCGCGGACGAAAGGTGAGCGCCGGGAAGGGTGGCATTACGTTATGTAACTGCTTCCCATTCCGTATCACGGTTATTTTCGATCACGCGGATTTCCCCTACGTAGCAGAGTTCTACCTAATGGTTAATACCTATTACGTAATCCTAACTTGGGTAGATTGGAAATCCTAGCTAACCGGAAAAAACACACTCCTGGTTAAATATCTCAATACTAAATGATATAAGCAAATAATCCGAGGTATGTGTCAACGTGAAAAACTCTTACCTTTTCGCTGACCGGACTAATTCCTCTGCGGGGAGCCATTTGACGCGGACACGATGATTGCTTCAAGGTTGATCGTGGTCCGGTCGAAGTGTTTGGTTAGGATTGAGGTGATGAAAAAAACACAACACAAACACTTTAAGAATGTCACAAATTATGTATTATAATATTGCGACCAAAATATAACAATACATGACGTGCCGCTCGGGCAGATGAGTTTAACGTCGGACGATATGTTATCGGTCCGACGGTCCGATGGTGGATCGCCGACCATTGTACGTCTTACGCGACACAGTCCCCCCGTCCCGCCTTGCCGTTACCGGCTCGGTGGGAGAGTCAACCCGGTCGCGCTGCTTGCATCCCGTGGTGGTGGTTGGAGATAAGATAGACTGGTCGCTATAGTGCTTGTACATTGTACTTGCTACTAACGCGGGCCGCGTCACGTCTCGTTGCCTTTAATACGACGTACATGTTCAGAGATGACCGGATCAAATTTAGCCAACATTTCTATAATGCCTAAAAATTTACCATTATTTTTCTCATATAAGACATCTGAACTTCCTCTTAAAGCATCATTATTTTTGGCTAAATACTGTATTGCGGCAAGAATTCTTAATAAAACATTACGCCAATGAGCTTTTTCTTTTTCCATAATTTTCATATGGTAATTATTAGGGCCCGGATTTTTATGCAAATGCATATTCCTCTACATTTGACGTATAATAATTCTGATTAAATATCTTGACGTTTCGTAAAACGTAGATTCTACTGTTAATTTTTTATTTTGCATATTTTTGCATATTTGCATCAAAATGCATAATAATTGCATATTTCGGGGTAATTACATAAAATGTGCATATTTAATAAATACTTGATAAAATATTTTAAATTTTACTCAAAGTTTGATATATATGCCGATTTTGCCCGATCGCCGACGTTCCTGACAAATATAATTCATTATATTAAATTATTCAATGATTCAATGAGTATATATTATGGCCTGAAAAAGTATTGCATGACAAAGTGTTATTGTATGTCACAGACGCCGCTCCTTATATGGTAAAATATGGACATGCGCTTAAGGTATTTTATCCTAAACTAATCCATATTACTTGTATGGCCCATGGGCTTCATAGATTATCAGAAGCTATTAGGGATGAATTCTCAAATGTTGATTTGTTGATATCTAACACAAAAAAAGTTTTTTTAAAAGCACCTAGTCGTGTAGGTACTTTTAAAGAAAAATGTCCAAACTTAAGTTTACCCGCACAACCTATTATTACTTTTATTACATTATTTTACAATTTATTATTAATTTTTCAATTTGATAATTTAAAAGCACATTTTGTTACATCATGTTGGTATTCTTTCAATAATTAATACAAATTTCTATGCTTTATACACATTTTAAAAAATGATGTTTAAATTGTATTTTTTTTTCACTTAATACTATATTTTTAATTTTTGTATTTTTAAACAATACATTTTTTTGCATATTATTTGCATATTTTTGAATTTTTGAGTGCATATATATGTGCATATTTAACAAACATTTTTGCATAAAAATCCGGGCCCTAGTAATTATCAATTGTATGACATGTACTGACTCTAGTTTTAAGTTCATGCCAAGCTTTTAATGATTGTAAATGGTTAGGAGAATTTCCATGTTTATTCAGGATTCTTGATAAATGTCTCCAATCATTTATACCTGTTGTACTAAGGCCATTCGCATTTATTGGAAACAGCTTACAATAAAAGCAATAAACACAGTCATTTTTTTTAGAATAAATAAGCCAATATCTATTTATTACTTCACCGTTTGATAAACTGCGAGTATAATAATAGTCAGAAAACTTTCTTTTCTCGGAATCTAATGGATAATTAAAATTTTGCACTTTATAAGGCCCGTTTTTTATTATATCAATACGTACATCATGACCTAGTGGGATTGGCCAATTTCCAGGGTCAATTAAATCAGTCATTACTACTAGAGATTCAAAAGTAGAATTACTTACATTTTTAGCAGCTGATGATTGATTATTATTAGAAGTCGTTAATACATTTTCTACTGAATCTTGATTTTCGAAAGATGTAGATATGTTATCTTGAAGGACGTGATCAGTTTCAGATATGAGAGGTGATTTTTGTTCAGAAATATTTGTTGAACTATCAGAAGTTATATTGACATATTGAGTAGGTATGGCTTTTAGGGACATCAGATGCATTAGAAATTGTTAATAAAGTTTCTACCGAATCGTCATTTTCTAAAGATGTAGATACGTTATCCTGAAGGACGTGATCAGTTTCAGATATGAGAGGTGATTTTTGTTCAGAAATATTTGTTGAACTATCATAAGTTATATTGACATATTTACAATTACTTTTAGGGACATCAGTTACATAATTCTCTTTAGATGTAGTTGGATTAAGATATTTATTGAAAGATCCCATTTGTTTTTTTATAAACTCATCCTTCTGTTGTTTTATTAGTTCCAGACTCATATTTTCTAAATCTATCTCCATCTCTACTCGTCATGATTTGAACTTTTATGATTTGTCTAAAATACTTTTGACAGATCTAAAATAGAAACCAGATAAAAATAATTAGTTATTAAAAGGGACCGGGTATTTATGTGTTAAATTTTCCATATTTCTATAAAATGACAAAAAAAATGCCAAGTAGAATATAAATTTGTTTCAAAACGTCGAGACATTATATCAATGCTAAAATTAGTAAAACATTTGTTTTTATATTTTTGCATGCGGGTGCATTGCCGAACAAATATTTAATTTAATTTAATATATTTTTAAATATTCATCTTCATAAACCTAAGCCAGAACTTAGTTACAAACTACACTGAGGATAGGGAACTAGTCGACTGTTCGAATAAATCTGTTCGAATGGACTTGTGTTTGAATAGTATTATGTACGAATTTTATATTTTCCTATTTGGACATAATTACGAGTATACGAATATCGTTCATAGTCACAAATATAATGATAAAATAAATTGTTCTACCGATTGACCGATTGTGTAGTGTATTATAATATCATGTTTAATTGTATAGTTGAATTATAAACAATAATAATAATTCATTTCTATACCGAAAAATTACATTTTGTTGATTCCAAAATAAAAATAATATTCGAACATTTAAATTTTCTAACAGATAACATTTGAACACTTTTAATTCAGACACACTCATTCATTCTTTCTCTTAAATGTTTCCGACATAATTACTTGATTCCTAAATCATTTAAGTTAAACGAAATTTAAGAACTGTGTTTGAAAGCAAAATCATTTTAAAAGTAATAAAACAGACGACATTATTGGCTAGTTATTATTGTGTAGAAATAAATTAATTGTAGGTAGTTATACTCTACATTTATTTATTTACGCTAAAAATGATCAAAATACGGATGTTGTAAAAATGACAGGTCCCTACGATTATTTTGTACGGATAATAAATAATAATAGGTCGTGATACCTGATCAACAAAATACTACGCGTTTGCGTCTCACTACTACTCACCGACCGACCATCACGAATAACAACGACAATAAATTTATACTAAAAACGGCGATTCACGATTTCACGATTTAAAAAAATAACGTACATCGTACATTCGTATATACTATATGGTACATAATCTACATAATATTATATAACTCACAGATGACAGTATGCTGTATGCTACATTGTGATTGCTATAATTACAATAAAAAAATAAAACAATATAAATAACGAATAATGTGTTGTAAATGTGTGAGTGTGTAAGCAGTGCGGTGGTGGCAGAGTGGTACGCGGTGATTACCTATACGGCGATACCTATTATTATTCGTATTAAGTATTATTATAAATTATAATAGTTCATTACATTTTAAAGTTTAAAATAATAAAATAAACAACTACTTACCAACTTACAAAATGGATGTTCTGTTACTGACTGTTGGCGTGTTGACGAGTGACGAGTAATGCGACTATGGGAGTCGCGGTTGTCGACTTCGGTTGGGATTTACCAAAATAAATGTTTATCGCATATGCCATAGATACTAATAGACTGATTGCATAACGATTTACGATAATTCAATTCCGTTACATACAACGTACAAAGTTTTTGTACAATATTTAATATGATTATATGAAATCACAATAATAACAGTAGAAGAATAATTTTCAAATGCAAAAGATACTGAACAAATAATACAAATTTATGTACTATATTAAACTTATAATAATAAAATTAGGTAATTTAATAGTTAAATATATTTTTTCAAGTAAGACATTTTTGAATGCTCCCTAAGTACTATATTGGTAGAACAGTATTTTAATTTAAAAAATGTATCAAAGTTTAGCGCCCTTGTTTCATATATAAGGTAAAGGTGCAAAGCGCGGGGCCTGGTGCCGGGGCACAAATCAACCCCCCCCCCCCTTAAGCCGGCCATGGTCCAGATTAATAATCAATATTCTGACTTCAGGGGGGGAGGGCTATGGGTGCTCGGGCATCCCCTGTCACTCTAAAAGTCCAAGGCACTCCAAGCCACTAATAAAAAACATTTGTATTCAAAATATTAAAATAGAAAAGTGTAACCATTTTTTTTAGATTCTGTTTTTTATAAATTTTTTAATTTTTTTTTTGTTTCTATCATCACCGTGTTTGGGGAAGTACAATTAATTCGATTTTTTTCAACAGTACCTATCTCGATTTATGGGAAAGTGAATGTATTTGGTTCATTCAGAAGATCAAAATTTAAAATTCCAATAGTTTTAAAAGCGCCTAGAATAACTAAATAAAAACTAAGGAAAATTGGAATTTTTAAGCAAAATCAGTTTTCAACAAAATCGATTTTGGTTTTTGGTGTAACTCTAAAAAAATAAGCATAGATACATGCAATTTTCACTGAATGTTTATATTAGCATTAATTTCTATATACGATAAAATTCACACGATTAAAATATTTTGACTTGTTTTGAGTTGTTTACGGACATAATCAATTTTCAATTTTTTTAGTTTTTTTTTCTATGATTGCCAATAGAATTTTAAATGTTGGGTAAAAAAGCTTGAAAATTTAATACAAGGCTCTTCATATACTGTTACAATGACATTTGAAAAATATTAAATATACAGTCACAATTTTTTCTTAAAAGCATTTAAAGTTCAATTTTGACAAAATACGTAAAAATCACGAAAATTTGCAGTTGTTTTTGAGTTAGGAATACATAAATATTTTATTTTTAAATCTAACATTTGAAAATTTAATACAAGATTCCTCATAAGTATGTCAACCTTTATCAAAAAAAAATTTCTACCGGAAAGTCAAATTAAATGTTTACATCATTGGTTATTCTCTCGATTTCTCATGTAGGCATGTAGCGATTTTCTTGTTTTGTTTTAATTCAAACACGAATAACTGTTTAGCGTACTTGAATTTTATACCATATAATAACTTATCAATTCCCATACTTGATAAAATGTACAAAATATTTTGACTTGTTTTGAGCTGTTTACGGACATTTTAATTTTTTTTAGTTTTTTCCTTTAATTGTCAATAAAATATAATTTGTTGGGTAAAAAAGCGTCAACATTTAATACAAGGGTCCTGCTATATTTTTACTTTAACAGTTGAAATATTTTTAAAATACGTATAGGCAAAATTTTATTTTTGAGCATTGAGAGTTCTAATTTTGACAAAATGTG